GACCCTCGGATAGTCACCCGAAATTCCACCAGACCACATCCAAATCGAGGAAAAGGAAATAGGATAGGTGGCTTTCCTAAGCCCTTTAAACATTATTTATACAGCTATACATATATAGGCATGCAAATTTATAAGTAGTAAAACAAAGTTTACAATAAAGCATTTGATAATAAAAGAGTTTGTAAAACATTTTGAGTAAAACGTTTGAACAGTGATAAAATCATTGGTTTCTTAGTTATTAATCACATGTGATTAAGCCGTCACATGTGACCGAAACAATAACTATAAGTGTTTAACTTGTATTCCCCCCATAAAGCATTTAAAAGTATTTAGAATAATTAAAACAGTTGATTAAGGGGTATGAAACTCACTTGGAAATTCGAAGATAGCGAGCTCGAAAACCGGGCAGAGTTTCGTCTCGCGAAACGGATTTTTCTCGGGATTCTCGGGAATCTCGGGAGTAAAATCGACCCTCGGGACTTGAGCAAAAAGACCAGAGCTTCGGGTTTGAACGGGCACGGAAATCGAGGCAAGATCGGGAGAGAAAGAGAGGAAATGAACAACATTTTCGGAAAGGCTCGCATCCCTTTTATAGGGTTGCTGAACCGCCTCCGAACGCGGGGCGTACGGGCGTACGCAGCGCGTACCCGTGCGTCATCGCTTACGCACTTCGGACGGGACGGGTTCCTGGGTTCGCGGGTCGGATGGGACGGGTCGGTAGCTTCGCATAGGGCGACGTGGTCGATCCGAGACCCTTCATTCGAGTACGCGGGGCGTTCGAGCGTACGCGGCGCGTACTCGGCCCTAGGCTGACTCCTCCCTCGGATAATACCGAACTTTTAATAAAATTTATATTTAAATTATTTATCAAACTTCAAAAATTCATATCTCTTTCATACGAACTCCGTTTTCGACGTTCTTTATATCCCCACGAAGGTGAGACTACGATCTACAACTTTTGTTTAGATTCCGTTGGCAAATTCCGAAATTATTTTTATTATTGTTTTTATTATTTAATACCAATCCATCGTTTTTAAGGAATTTCTTTGAAAACTCATAACTTCGCTATCTGAAGTCGGATTTGGGCGATCTTTTTACGTACGATCATGGTTCAAAGACATTAAATCATAGAAATAAATTAAGTAGAACTTATTTATACATTTTATTACCCATAAGTGGTTACAATACTTGACCTATTAGGTCATTACAAAGAGTTGAAATATCGGGTTGTCACACATCATGATCATGTATATATATATATATATATATATATATATATATATATATATATATATATATACTAGATAAGGCAGTTTATGGGTTAAAACAAGCATCACGAGCATGGTATGCAACTCTTACTTCTTTCTTGAAGAAATCTAAATGTTACAAGGATCTGTTGAACCCACGTTATTTCATAAGAAAGTTGGGAATCATCTAATGCTTGTTTAAATTATGTTGATGATATTATTTTTGGCTCAACTGACCCTGCTTTGTCTAGAGAATTTGAAGATCTAATGAAAAGTAAGTTTGAAATGAGCATGATGGGAAAGATCAATAATTTTCTTAGTCTAAATATTCGTCAAAGTAGAGAAGGAATTCTTATTAATCAAGAAAAATATACGAAGAATCTGCTAGAGAAGTTTGGATTGACGAATAGCATGAAGTTACGAGTTCCTATTGCAACTAGCATAAAGCTGACACCTTCGTTAGGTAAACCTGCAGTTGACCTAACTCTTTATAGGAGCATGATTGGTTTATTACTTTATCTTACAGCTAGTAGACCTGATATCATGTTCTGTGTGTGTGTGTAATTATGCTAGGTATCAGTCAAATCCACGAGAACCACATCTCACTACTATGAAGAATATCTTTCGTTATCTTAAGAGAATAATTTTGTTAGGATTGTGGTATCCTTCGAAATATGGGTTCTTTGTTCAAGCTTATTTGGATGCATAATTAGGTGGTTGTAATCTTGATAGAAAGATCACAAGTGGAGGATGTCAATTGCTTGATGGCAAATTGGTGAGCTGGTAGTCAAAAAAGAAAACGTGTGTATCAATTTCAACTACTGAAGCAGAATATGTGGCTGCTGCTGCTTGCACATCACAAATTATATGGATCCAAAGTCAATTACGTGATTATGCACTTAATATGAAAAAGATTCCATTATATTGTGATTCTAAAAGTGCAATAAGAATTTGTTATAATCCTGTGTAGCATTCGAAGACTAAACATATAACTCTTCGTTATCATTTCATCAAGGATCATGTGGAGGATGGAAATATTGAAGTACAATTTTTGAAAACAACTGATCAGATAGCTGATATTTTCACGAAACCTTTAGAAGAAAAATCCTTTGTAAGAATTTTAGAAGGACTTGGAATGATCGATGGAAATTCTGTTCCATGCGAAAAAGGAGAATGATGGTTGACCAGGAATGATTCAGAGGCGCTGAATAAAGGACAACACAATGTCATTCAGCATTTAGAGGTCACTGTTCATAATCAACGCTTCGACCCATTAAAATTCGTAAATTTGTCACTTTTCAGGGGTTGATAAAATTTCATGTGTTTGCAACAAGTACATTTTGTTTGTCATTTAATTTTCGAAAAATTAAAAATCCAAAAATATTTTCGTTTTTTTTCATTTAATTTTCGAAAAATCAAAAACTCAAAAAGATTTTCTTCTTTTTATTTTCAAAAAATCAAAAACTACAAAAATAATTTGTTTCTCATTTCTTTTTAGTATTTTGATGCAGATATTCATGATGATTCAGCTTGGGGAATGCTTGCAGTTCTAGGGTCAGGTAAATTTTCGAATACTTTGAACTAGTTAAGTTGTCCCTAGAAGCATGCTGCATCATGTTGACCAAAGCCTCCATTGATTCAATGTGTGTGTATGAAAGCCTTAATGAAATCTTTCATACAAAAATTTCTTCCCAATCAGGCTTGTATTCATATTAGTCTCCTAAGCTACCCAACTCTTCTCACATGAGTTAAGAGTTTACTATTTTGTCCAAATATAACAGAGGTACATTTCGTGTCTTACACCAATCTTTTTCATCTGAAAGTTCTTACATCAATCGAGACTTAGACATATCAAAAATATGTGTTTATGATTTGACATCATGAGACCGTGATGAAAGTGAAACCTAATTCTCTAAACTTTTAAGGAATTGATGGGGAACCATGTTCCAGATTTTCACGATTTTTTTCCAGTACTTAAATTCGAAACTCCAAATCATATTCATTTCGTATGAGTGGTCTTGATCAAACGTTCAAAACCCATGATGTCTATTACCCAACAAGATCCAGCACAAAAATTTTCATGAATATGATTTTCGTGTGAGTTTCATTCGAAATCCAAAGTCACTTAATTTTTTTTTTTGTCAAAGCAAACTTGTCACTAACTACACTGGTCAAACAAGTAATTTATGTTACAATTTCTCACCTTATGTTTAGGTTGATATGTAACGAAATTCTTATAGCTACCCATGCAACCTAATAAAAGAAGCCCTTCGATACTTATCTACAAGTGTTCGATTGTATATCACGGGAACATGCACAAGCAGTTGATCATCTCTCTTGATGATTAATGAAGTAACCTTTGCCCGGGGTTTATACTACTTTTGTGTCGAAAAATTGATTGACATCACTGACTTCAAAATTTTTCTTATTATTGCTTTTCATCTAATTTTTTTTGGAACACTGCACTGACGAAATCCTTGAGGTTCTGAGTAATACCAACTCAGGATGATGATTTCGAACATCTATTAAATGACTTTACTTTAAAACCCAAAAGTGAAAGAGCCTTACTTCCATTCGAATGGTTCTGACGGTTATAATTCTATTGGGGCAAACAATACAACCTGTTTTACAGTGACGTATGGTATTCTGTCCGGGTTTCAAGGAGAAGTGACAGTTACTTTTTGACGCATGGTTACTTTTATGGGGTAGTGGTCTGATTTTCAAGGTGCCACATCGGATCTCATTAAATGCACATCCCACTTCAAATTCAAACTCCAGGGTTACATATAAAAGGCGATACAAGGGTATATTATCAATTTACATGTTAAGAAGAAAAATTCCTAAATTCTCTCTAATATTCAAAGTTTTCAAACCCTAATAATGGCGAGTTTTGCTAATATCGATGCCCCTTCTCAAAATACTGAAGATGTGACTTCATTGCCAATAAAGAAGATTCAAGGAACTAACTACCAAGTAGAGGCTGATGTTTTTACTTATCCAGAAGAACTCAAGATGTTGATTGTCGCTTTAAAAAGTTCAGTTCTATCCAAGGCTATGTTCCGATCTTTTGCTGTTTGTCTTTCCTAGTTATGTATAGCAGGATCAACTGCTACTTACAGCAAAGCTTTGGATGTCATCACATTCAACCTGGTGAACGATAAGAATGTTAGACTATCCAAGAAGCTATTTTGTCAAATATTGGAAATCCCAAATTCTCCACCCTACACTGATATGCAATTTCCCTAAATCGTACACATGTTCAACGAGATGGGTCATCAACCCCAACTCACCAAGATCAGTGATTGCAAGAAATCTGGTCTTCCAAGGATTTGGAACTTTCTCTTTGGAATTTTTCTGAGATTTTTGATTGGTTGAACTGTTGGTCTCGACAAAGGAAGGATGGAAGTATATGCCATGGTTGCTGGGCTATACTATGATATTCCGGTGGAGTATTCTACACAGCTTTGGAAGGAATTCAAAAAGAGTGTTGAAAACATGAAAACAATTCTAGGCATTTCGTGTGCATGGTATTGGAGTTTGATTTTGCAACACTTTTATGAGAAAGAAGGGATTCTGGTGGATGCTGAGGAGGCGAAGGCTGAATTCTATTCATACAATTATTCGAAGAATATGACTGATGATGCAGAGGAGTTTCCATTTGTTGCTCGTATTCCAGATGCTATGTTGAGGCGTGTTGATCCTATGAATGTTATTTTGGTGGCATATTTGAAAAACATTGATCCTACTGTTCAAATGGGGATATTGTTGCCAAGGAAAGAGAAGAAGTCTAGACTTTCAAAGAAGAATGAAGCGAGTACTTCTGAAAAGCCTGTTACTGAAACCAAGTCAAAGAAGTCTACAAAGAAGTATCCTAGTGAAGTTCAAGTGCTAGTGGTAAATGAAGTGTTTGTTGATGTGACTATTCCAATTGAGCCTACTGTTAAAGATACTCAAGAGAAAGTCGTTATTCCTTCGAAGACTGGTGTTTTTCGAAGAAAAAAAAATGAAGTCTAAGCATAAAGGAAAGTCTCAGACTCCTAATGTGGTACGAAAGCCTCATGTTACTCATCAGGGTGTCATTATTCGTGAAATACCGGCTCCTATTTCTCCATCGTCTAAGAAACGAAGGGCTGAAGATATGGCTAAACATATTTCTCAAAAGAAGAAGCAGACACGAAAGCTTGTTATGACAACAGAATCCACAGAAAATGAAGATGAATGAATTCCTAAAACACTTGAAGCAAATCTTAACAATGAACGTTCAACTTCTGAGCAGACAATGGTCATACCACCCGAAGTTTCGTTTACCAAGTCATCTTATGAGGAGGCACGAAATTTAGACATCAATGCAAAAGCTCAAGGTAATCCTGATTCTATTACCTTCGAAAATATTGTTTCGTTACCTCCACAAGTCACACCAATTACTTCAACCACAGACTCACCCACATTCGAAAATATTATCAATCAACCCTTTACTTCCATTTTTTCTTCTCAATCCACTGATCCACACAAAATCAATTCCACTGTTAAAGACTCAAATCTTATGGGAACTGATATTGACAATGAGGGTTTTGAAGGAACCTGTGAAAACTCAAAATTTCCGTTAGTTTTAACGATGTAATTAAGCAAGTCAAAAATTAGCCAAATTTATCCCAAAAATATTTTTGGCCGGATTTAAGCCCGTTGGTATATTTTAAATAATATTCGTCAAGCGAACCAAAAATAAGGAGGTATAATTTACAATTTGTCGTGTTTAACGGAAGTCGCGAAAAACCCCGTTTGCGGTTAGTGTTGGGTGGACCCCCACCCAGACTGTAAACTCAACCTTATATAAGGGTTGAGTGGGTTTCATCCCAACCTTTTCCACACCTTAGACACTTCCTCTCTCTACTTTCTCTCTCTACAAGTCGTGTTTTGGTCAAAAATCACCCCTTCGAGCTTCAAAACGGTAAGTTAACCTTCCTAGCTTGTTGTTTAGCTTATCACACTTGCAAATTCGTGGCTTAAACATCCAAAAACCCCAAGAACAAGAGTTTATGGTTTGGGAACATCCCAAAACCGTAAACACCTTGAAAGAGGGTTTTGATGCCCAAAAACCCTTCCAAACCACTTCAAATGCTTAGTTATGACTTAGGGGCTTACATGAAAGGACTTAGGACACCAAAATCTCGATTTTTGGGGATTAAATATGAGTTTACGTCCCAAGAACATTCTTGGACCGTAAACACCTTCCCAAGGTGTTTAAGTGCCTTTAACACCTTCATATGCTCATAAAAGTGACTAGAACCTTGCCTACATAGCCTAGAACCACCAAAGAACAAAAGAAATGGACTAACATGAGTTTACGACTGTAAACTCATGTGTTTACGGCCATAAACTCCCAAGGAGTGGTCCAAGGACCGTAAACTCCCTATTATATCGATTTTGAGCCCCAATCACTTCCTTAGCCCTTGATTCGACTCTAGCATGATTTTATGAGTGAGATAAGACCTTTAAGCATCCCATGACACCACTACCATGAGTTTACGGCCGTAAAATCATGGGGGAAGTGGTATTGAAACCGTAAACACCCATAAGGACCATCATTACTTGGTGGTTCTAGGCAACGCTTGGTACTCCTAGCAGTTGTAGCAAAGTGTTTTCATGTAGTAGAACATCTTTACTTGCTTAATTAGTTATTTAATGACTAATTGGATACTTAAATGTATCATTACATGTTAAATAGGATTCGCGTGTGTGGTCAAGTCCTCACTTGACACTTAGCATCCTATATACTACCCATTCATCCGAATCGCCCACGACAAGTGAGTTCATACGCATGAATTAACCTTTTAAATGATTTTAAATGCTTTTATAGCCGGGAATACAAGTTGAACTATACAGTTATTAGATAAATCGCATGTGATTAATAATTGTATAGCAAACTAGACTTTTGCATGTTAACTGTTTCAAACAAATTTAGATTTTCAAATCATGTTAAAAGTATGAATATCTCTTTTTAGATCATAAAAGATTATCCAAAGTGCGTTTGTTAAAGAGACGTCCAGTTGTAATGACTTACTAAAGGTTTTCTTCACTAAAACTGTTTTATAAAAACCCTTTTCAAAGCTTGTTTTTCAAAATGATATCAAGTCGTACATTTCTTAAGTATAAAGGTTTTACTAAAGTTTCTTCTATGTATTTATTTCGTTAAATGCATGCCTATATGTGTATAATTATATAAATAATGTTTAAAGGACTTAGGAAGGTTAGTTCGCCCTATTTCCTTTTCCTCGTTGGGATGTGGTCTGGTAGGTATCGGACATCCGTGCGAAGGTCGTTTAAACATTAATTATATATAATGTATACATGTATGGACATAAAATCTCTCTCTCTCTTAGTCGATTCATCGCCTTGAGTAGCACATACATTCTTCTATTATTCATGTTTCTAGAACACTAGTAATTATTATAGGAATAGTTAGGAGTCTCTATCTCTATCTCTATCTCTATCTCTATCTCTATCTCTATCTCTATCTCTATCTCTATCTCTATCTCTATCTCTATCTCTATCCCTAGCTCTATCTCTACCCCTCTCTCTTTTGCTTTAGAATGTGACACACTATTTCCCTCTATGACGCTTCGCTGCATCAACACCGTGTAACCAGAGTCTCTGGGAAAGAGAGCGAACATCATGTGTACAGATCTATACGGGACTGACACTCCCACACCCAGACTATTAGCTACAGTCTACGCCGGTAAGGCCCATGGGTGACATAATGACACTACCTCTAATGCCACTACCTCTATGCGTGAGCTGGAGGGTCATCAGATACTCTATCGTCGATCAGCATGGTTACACTTAAGTTCACATTTACCCCTTTGTTTTAGATTTTGCAAGCTGTATCGTTCCCTCGATACTATCTGGATTTTGTGCTTCCTTTTATTAGACTGAGCCAGGCGTATCAGTTATTCGATACTCTCCTGGAGTCTATGTTTTCATTGCTTTTAGTCAGCAGTATTACTGCTGAAGTATATGTTATTTTCCCCTGGTATTTTTACTTGTGATTTTCTCATTATTCCTTTAAAGTCAATACTGTATTTTGGTAAGGATAGTATTTTGGGGAAAATTTCACTTTAAAACATAAACTTGTCAGGTCTTGGTAGAAGACTTCTTTTATTTAGAAAATAAAGGATTTTCTAAAAAGAACACTAATACACCATAGATTTTAAACTACTATCTTTCATAAAGTTATTTTGAATAAAAATGTGTATTTATACAAATGACACTAAATACTTATGAACTCACCAGCATTATAAAAATGCTGATACCCGCTTTCAAAATAACTTGTATTCTCAGGTCATCGTTAGACAGGTACATCCCGGGAGCATTTGTGGAGACAACCTAGTACCGAGCTGCATTTATATTATTTTTTGTATTGATTTGATGTCGCTATGAAATGTAAACTATGTAAAACTATTACTATTAATGTAATGGTTGTTGTACTTTGATTACTATACTGCACATGTTGTGATACTTGATATGACGTCATGCACCCCAGAACGTTTCTGCCATTCCAGTTTTGGGGTGTGACAGATTGGTATCAGAGCATTGTTTATAGTGAGCTCAGTATATCAATTCATAAAATATATACAGCCTATAAATACATACGGAGAAAACACTCTGACCAAGAATTATACTTTAAAATATAACCATATTTTACCAAAGTATAAGAACATCCAGAATCTAAATACCCAAACAAAGTATCACAAGAAGAACAAGAATAGAAGTCTTCGGATGTTGACCATTACCGACAAACCTGGGCAGTTATGTAATCATAAGCTGGAATATATGTAACCTGATCAACTACATTTATTCGAGATGCGATGAACGTGTGCTTGGGAGTGATGGTAGAGTTGAAACATATCTGAAACTTACCAACTAGGAATGCTAGAGCCAAACATAAAGTTTAAAATACTATCGGAGTATTTTGGAATACTAAAAGACTCACATTAATCCCAGAATCATATTAAGAAGTTAAGAATCAAACAAGAAATTAAAATACCAAAGGGGTATTTTAGGATCCATAGATAACCTTGTGTGAAAAACTAAAAAGATCCTTATTGATATACCTACGATTACAGAGGGTATAGTCCCATGGTTATATATAATAAGGATCCCATAGACTAAGAATGTGTGGTTTCACTCTACTTCCTTTTCCTCGTTGGGATGTGGATATAGAGTAGTATCACATATTCGAAGGCCTATCGGATCTAAGCTATATATAATTTGTGTACCCTATGTAATTGTAGCAGGACTCGATATGGATCACCTAGTGAAATGTTAATAATCTCTTAGGATTCTTTATACATTTCCATTCTCGCACGAACCCTGTAGAAAACCTTATCCACTTCAGTGTTTGACAGAAGAGTTGATCCGAACCCAGAAGAAGTTCATTGAGAATATTTCCAGTTCGGAAATAAATGGACTAGGATGAGACTATTAAAACCACCAAGTGCCTAAGACTTTTAGGGACATCGGTGGGAAATTCGCCTGAACTTCCGAGATTTCCAGTCATCCATCATGAAGTGGTGACACTCAGAGTCATAATCGGAAGTAAGACAGAGTAGGAATTCAATATGTCTACACGAGAAGAGAACCCTAGGTATCTATCTGAAGAAAACCAACGCCGGTCCCAGTCTAGGATAAAAGGTAGACAGAGGGAGCCAATACATGGAACCCAAGAAGTGTCTTTTCCTCGTTATTGTCGCGCTAATACACCTATAAAATAATACACTTTAGTGAGTTAGTGATTACACTACTCATACTATATGTTAAGTAAATCGTCTCTTCCCGTCACAAGTAATATGATTAGATCGTATCCCAAAACCTCGATTAGGAGTGTTTAGCCATAAGTCTTCATGAGCCTTTCTTCCTGCAGTCTTCATTCCGAACTGACCTCAGATCGTTCCAAAGCCGGAGAGTGAATCTCTCCAGTATAAAGATAACTTAGTAGGAACGACCCCCAAATCTTATGGCTTTTCTATACTCATACCCCTACCTTGATACCAGGACTACATCATAGGGATGTAGGTCAAACCTTCGAGAACATTCTCCTACTCCATTGGTGAATGATTGAAATACATCTAGGACCAAAGATAGCCCTTACTAAGAATTCTAGTTCAATTACGAAGGGTTAGTAAGAAGGTTATTAGTATGATTTCCTCGCTCATACATTTCCAA